GATTGATCAAGACCAATATACGGATGAATTTGAAATCCGGAAAGGTGTCCGCCAAGGCTGCATACTCTCTCCGATGCTTTTTAATTTATATGTTGAAAATATATTTGCGGAAGCATTAGAAGATACGGAATTAGGCATTAAGGTGAACGGCATACCAATTAGCAACCTACGCTATGCGGACGACACAGTGATTATAACTGATAATTTGGAAGATCAGCAGTTATTACTTGATAGGGTGAATAGCATAGGTAAAAAATATGGCCTCAAAATCAACATTTTGAAAACGAAATATATGGTCATTAGCAGAAACCCTCCAGAAAACCCGATATTATGCATAGGTGACAATCGTATAAATCGCGTGAAAACTTTTAAATACCTTGGCACCACAATCAATGACCAATCGGATCCACAACACGAGATAAAAACCCGAATACAAATGGCAAGACAAGCTTTTGTGAAATTCAGACCGCTCCTATGTAATCAACACCTAAACTTCGAAATACGCTACAGAATGGTCAAGTGCTACATATGGTCCATCTTGCTTTATGGCATGGAAACGTGGACTTTGAAAAAAACATCTATCAACAAACTTGAAGCATTTGAAATGTTGTCATTGAGAAGAATGATGCGCATACCTTGGGTGGATAGAGTTCGAAACGATGACCTCCTTAATAGAGCCGGCGTGGAAAGTGAACTCTTTGAATTAATTAAAAAACGCAAGATTGGTTACCTTGGGCACATATTGAGAGGAGCAAAATATGAAATACCACAGTTAATCCTACAAGGAAGATCGAAGGTAGGAGAGGAGCCGGCCGCAAACAATTGTCCTGGTTAAGGAATATTAAAGAATGGACAGGAATACACAATACAGGTGAGCTATGTCACGCCGCCAAGAACAGAATTCTAGTAATGAGATAGTCGCCTACGCACTTTGGTGTATGGCATGTTAAGAAGATATATACGTATATATATATATATATATATATCTTCGGAAAGATTTCCGCGGTTAGTACAATGAAACCTAGAGGTAAGATTAATACTATTACAAAAATTTATATTAAACTCACCAGTCTTCCGGGTTGAACTGCGTCGATATCCATTTTGCCAAGCTTTCGACATCCTCTCTGATGTCTTCCTCAGGGCTTCCGAGGTCTCAGTCTTCCGAGCCCCCAGCTACTACTGCACTGTTGACTGATCACTGCACTAGTAGTAGTGACAGTGCATTATAAGTATAAAAATAAAAAATATAAAAGTTTTGCATCACATAAAGAGAATATCTTGATTCCTTACTTGCTCGGTTTGGATGGTATGTACTGTCTAAATCCGCAACGTCCTCGAAATCCTGTGGCAGCATTTCATCAATTGTTGTGTTTTGTCCTAGGCTATAATACGTCTTGCAATTTTCCAAAAAATAGTTAAAAATATCTCTCACTGAAGCTAATTTATCTGTTGCTTGTCTTTGAGGCCGTGTGGTTTTTTCATCGAAACGGACACATCTTATAACCTGACTTACCATTATAAAAGTTTTCGCTTTCGGCGCCCACCATGTCTTCTGTATCTACGTCGTCGATTTCATGATCGGTATCAGAATCCATCGACCTTGTCTCCAGATAATCCTCTGTTGACGATTCATCTGATTCGTCAAAATCTTCTTGGGGTAAAGTATTTGTGTCACATTCACCTTCTTCGAAAACAAGACGATTAAGCTCTTCTACGTCTGCTGGATTATCAAGTTTGTAAATACGATTACTCATTTTCTCAAAAGTGTCGCCAAATTATGATAAAATACTTTTTTACGTAATTGTCACAAAATAAGTAAGGTCGATTATTCACAAAACACACTATTCAGAGTCAGTAAAAGACAATAAGCACTAGTATATAACTCTCATACGCCACAGCCGACGTACCAAATAGCACTGACGCATGATGTGGTTGAGCGGGCTAGCTCCGGCGGACCTATTCTGTGTACGGTCGAATTTCCGGAAAATCTCGGCGGTTATTGGAATGTTACTTCGGCAGTTAAAAGAAGACTGATCATCATTAGATGTCACTTAGGCTCAATGATATATATTAATTTTATTTTAAATTACAGGCAAAAAACTGGGGTCTAGGTCCACTGGACCTATGCCCGACTAATGAAGGGTTAAGGGGTCTTAACCTTAAACAAAAAAAAATTAAACTTTGAAAATTAAGGCAATTATATCGAGCACAAGTTTAATCAAATCTTGCCCAAGTACTTTCGCTTAATATAGCATCTTCAGGGGCATTTCGTCAAATATGGGCTATCCAGCAAACGTAGAATGTGATGAACATGAATGTTAACATAAAATTATACAAACACTACGCTAAAACAAGGACAAACAGTTTAAAATTAGTTAAAATACTTCTACGCTCTACATTCTTTGGCGCTAACAGGAGAGAGTTTCTCTCTCACACACTAAGAACAGTTTAAGATAGAAAACAATTTGCTGTAGTTATAGCCACCCTTCCGTAATGAAGAAGGAATCTTAAGACGAAGTATAAACATCATTTTATTTAAACTAATTTATTCAACAAAAAACATTATATAATTTAAGAATAGTTATTTTTATAATTAGGCATCTATCTATCTATCTATAGCCCAAAATCTATTCACGCATTGAATATAGGCCTCTCCCATTTGTCTCTGTCTTCTGTTAGTCTTTTCCACATTGGACCTGCGCTTTGCTCAATGTCATCTTTCCATCTCATTTGCGGTCGACCTCTTGACCTTTTTGCAGTATATGGTCCAGTGGCCAATTTCTTTATTCCATCTTCCATCCTGATATCTTTCGTTATGCCCAGCCCATTTCCATTTTAATTTCAATGCATGTTCGACAGCGTCTGTTGTTTCGGCTCGGTTTTGCATCTTATCCACTCGTTCCTCTTTTTATCTCTCAATGATATTCCCAACATTTGTCTTTCCATAGATCTTTGAGTTTTCTTTATTCAATCTAAGTTGCTTTTGGTACACGTCCACGTCTGGGCACCATATTATGTCAGAACAGATATGACGCATGAATTAAATACCTTCGTTCTTAATTTTAAAGGTATTTTTTTATTTTTGATATTATATGAGAGTTTTCCGAATAGAGCTCACACCATTGCTAGTTACTTTTGTCTACTCTGATAGCTTGTCCCAAGTAAATATATTCTTGGACGTATTCTATGTTTGTTCCACCTATGGTAATTACTGATCCGTCTTCTATATTAGTCATTATTTTAATTTTCTTTAGATTCATTTTTAGTCCTTTCTCAAGAGATGTTTTTTCTAGGTCTGAAATCATTATTTGTAGTTGTTCTATAGTTGTTGCTATTAGGAGTATATCATCGGCGAATCTTATCATCGGTTTATACAAATCCCTTTATTGTCCCAGTCTATAGATTTAAAAATGTCTTCCAACGCCAGAGTAAATAGTTTGGGTGAGATTGTATCCCCTTGTCTGACACCTCTACAAATTCTAATTAATGGAGTTTGCAAATCTCTGTCTAGCTGAATTCTAATAGTGGCGTTTTGATTTATACTGTGGAAAAACATTCTGTAGCGTGAATCTATTCGGCAATTAACTAGCGCTTCTTCCACTGCCCATAGTTCTATGCTGTCAAACGCATTTTCATATCCAACAAACGCTAGGTATATTGGAAGGTTGTATTCGTTGGTCTTTTCTATTAATATTTTAAGAGTGTGAAGGTGCTCGGTTGTGCTGTACCCCTTTCTAAATCCTGCCTGCTTAACTGGTTGGTATGCATCCAATTTTTTGTTTAGTCTAGTTGTAATCACCTTAGTGAAAGTTTTATAGTTTTGTGACAAGAGAGATATTGCTCTATAGTTAGCTAGTTTTGATCTATTTCCTTTCTTATATATCAGCATTGTATTTGCCTGTTTCCACTCTTGCGGTATTTGTCCTTCAAACAAACATTTATTGAAAAGTATCTTTAGGTAGTCTTTTATCTTTTCCTTCTTTTAACATTTCAATTAGAATTTCATCGTCTCCCAGAGACTTATTGCTTTTCATATCTCTAATTGCTTTTTCTATTTCTTCTCTGGTTATGGGGGTAATATTTCAGAGTTTACATTCATTATTTTATTTTTCAGGTTTTGTTGAGTTGTATCAGGTGGACTGTTTTTAGAGCTGTAGAGGTCAATATAATATTCCCTTGTTATTTTAGATATTTGGGTTCTGCTTCTTTCTATTACACCTTGTTTATTTTCCATCTCTATGATTTTATTTCTTCCTAGGTGGGACTTGATATATCTTAAGTTTCTGTTTCCTTCTATAATCTTCTCGATTCGTTTTTCTTGATGCCGTTTGAGATCTTGTTTCATATGTCTTCTTATTTCTGTATTAAAGGTTTATTATTCTATTCTGAGTTCTGTATGCTATAATTAGGCATATTAGACTACAAGTGAGTGAAATAATTTTTTACTCGGTATTGAAATCTTTCTTACGAATTGTCAGAAACAGCCGGCAACGAGTGGTAAATAAAAGTTCTGTGATTAAAAATACTATAAGAATATAAGAAGATAAGTTAATTTTATATAATTTTATAAAATGTATTCTTTTCGCCTATCCGATTTAGCAAATCGCTCTGTGATTGCATCAACATGTAGAGAAATTTCAGGATGCACATTGTTGAGTGCTAAACTAGTTAACTTTTCCGAAGTTTTATTTCTAATCCAAGTCTTTAGACGCTTAAGCGTAGAAAAACCACGCTCTGCTGTTGCTACACTGACTGGCAGTGTAATTAATATTTGCAGAAATATTCTGATATTTGGATACACATGAATATCGCAGTTTTCTAATACTTCTAAAATATCCTAAGTGGTTATAGATATGATATGTACCTAGATGGTCCAATAATATCCTGAAAGTTATCAAAAAATTTTTTTAATGCAACTTTATCTTCTGGTGTGTTATCAGTTTTAGGTAAAACCACTCGATGATTAAATAGATTCATAACTTTCGGTGAAAGTCGTTCTTTTAAATCAGTTTAGATATTGTTAATCTATTAAATTTTTTTTTTAAATCTCCTAAAAGGGGTAAATAAATAGATCTTTGGAAATATTCTTCGCAAGAGTTAGCAGGTTGGTTCTGACGAAAAACTATATGAGGCATCTTCAATTCAATGTCTAGTTGTTCAGCTATTTCCTTTACTTCATAGTAAAGTTTGCTAAAAACAGATTCAGCATTTAATCTTTTATTTAAAAAAATGCATTTAATGTCTTCTATGGCCTCAGTAGTCTTCTTCAAATCTAATTTTGGCGACTGAAGAAGACGACTAAGTGATACAGTTGTACCTAAAACATCACTAAGACAAACTACTGAAATGAGAAATTCTGGGCTCCTAATAGTGTGCATTAATGACAGTAAAACGCATTGAGCAATAAGACAAAAGAGGGAATCTAATCCTTATGAAAAGGAGACCAAAAAAGTGGCCTCTGATGGCGGACATATCCGGAAATTCGAATGCGCCAAATTTTAATTTTCCGACACTTATCAACAGTAGCTATATAATATTTTTCAGAATGTGTCTTAAACGAGAAAGTTTTAATTAATTATTAATGATAATAGTCTAAAATGCGACACAATTGTTAAAAAACTTCAATACAAATAAGATTTCATGTGACATTAGAGACAAACAATAACATAACCCAACTAAATTTGATGTCAAACAAGGAGAGAGACTCTCTTTCCTTGTTTAATGTGGCGTCTAAAGATCGCACTTCCTGTCTAACAATATGTTTGCCCCCTTATACCTTTACATTCCCTCTTTTGTCTTTTTGCTCGATGGTAAAACGTCAGCTGTTGCTGACGTTTTACTGTCCTTCCACGTAAAAATTGTTTCAAGAGTAAAAATCATATATTTTGATGATTGATTCGCCCTGGAACTGAAGATGACCTTCATGCCTTTCAACCCAACGAGTTTCACAAATACCTTGGACAGCAGCCTCCAGTTCCTTCCTAAAACCATCATGTCGTTTGGGAAAGGCATTCGCAAAAGCTACTACTTTTCTCATAGGTCCTGAATCATTACGACGTGATATAACTTTTGAGGAGCTTGCCAAGGAATTATTCAAAATATGATTGCTACATGGACAACGCACAGCATGTTTGGCCGATTTTTTAATTCGTTAACGGCACCTTTCGTTTCAGATGCCATTACTGAGCAACTGTCGACACCAAATCCTACGCAAAAATTTAAATCTAAATTAAAATTCTTTACGGGATCTTCAACAATGTGGTCTAAAGCAACTCCAGTTAAGCGGCGTTCTCCTTCTGAACCGAGGTCTTCTTCTCGAATCGAATCGTAGGCGATAAAAAATGTAATAAAACTTCTATAATCTCATTTAAATACAGATATCGCCGATACTTTCTTCTTCACAACAAGAAATGATATCATTTTGAGTAGTCTTACCAATTATTGTAGCATTAGCCGGAGCAGTTTCCAAATGTTTCAGCAGATCATTATCGCCAGCATTTATCCTAAACCAAAGCAATGCTCTAAAATTGCCATCATTTTTTTGTACCATCGCTGTTTACAATACTTTAAATATTTTTATCAGCCCTATGCCCTCTCAAAGAAATATTTTGTCTACCACAAAAAATAACAGTTTTTATTATTGGATTAAAATTCTTTCTATTTTCTTGAATCATTTCAACTCTTAACTTCCTGCTTATAAGGTTGATGGGTTTTGAATTATTCTTTTAGGATTATTTGATTGATATTTATGTTTGTTTGGAGGGGGTCATGACCCCCTTGGATCCGTCACTGGTTCATTGTATTCGTCTCGGACGCTATGCAAAGACTAAGTTTATCGGGGTGGTAGAATGGAATCTATATCACATTTATAAATTCTTATACAAAACTGAAACAAGAAGGTATCGATGTTTCTAATTTTATTGCTTTGCACAGACCATTGTAATCTTCTGCCATAAAACTTGATATCAATCATCATTAAAGTCCTGCATATTCAAATCATTATAGTTAACATTGACTTTTATTTAGGTTCCAATAAAAACAGCACAAATCATATTAAAAAGGCATTTCTATTGTAAAAATAAAAAACTAAGATAAATACAATTAAATATGCCAAACAATACACATTATCACATATTTTAAAATTAACCAGATAACAAAAGTACCATTATAGTCATACGACAAAGTAATACATACTACATACATACACAGATAACGGTACCTACAATAATTAAAAATGATGTTAAGGTTAGTTAACTTAAAGTAGTTACATAAATAAAACTTACATTTCACTGAATATTGTAAAACGGGGTATAAAAATGTAAATATAACAAACAACAAGTCAAGCAGATTATTCAATACCACTTGATGATACAGAATTCCGCATCTTTGATATGAGCCGTTATGAAATATAGCTTAAGAAAATTCATGCTAAAATTTACTAATATTGGTACCTGATTCATAGTTTTAAAGCAGGAACAATTTGAATACAAAAAAGAACATAGAAACAACCACGCTTAAACTGCTGGACAAAAAAGTCAACAGCTTCATGTTTGCAACTTTATTGCTAATAAAATTTAAATGAAACTTTGAAATTATTATAAAGCAAGTTAACATTGATTTCTGAACATGTATCTCTAATTTTCGTGGTGTTCTGAAAACTGCAAAATTATTTTTCCAATTTTTATTGAAATATGTATATTTTATATTCATTTGTTGACATACATAGTCGAAAGTTTATTTTTTAAAGCTAAAATTTATAAATTATTCTGGTTTTATTTATTAATAGTCATAATTCCTTGCTTGTATATAGCAGATATGAAGGCCGAAGAAGAAAAAAAAATTTAAGTTTTTAAAGTTCGTACCCGTAGTCTGTATTATGTCGGTATATCCTAAAATTTAGAGAATTTATACATAATAAGTAAAAATAATTACAGGAAGGCGATTCTAACAAGATAAGATCTTTCAACCAAAAAATTCCTTGTGACAGCTTCCAATATTGTTCAAGAAATCATGGTGTAGCCACTATTTATTGTTCCGGATATTTCTTTTATGTATAACAATGCACTTCCGCATATAGGCTCTTGAATTTTCAGTTTCAAGAGGATCATCAGAGTTTGGGTTGCTTAGTGATGCTTAAACAGATAAGAGAACTGTTCTAACTTGAAGAGCTGGCGACCACTGGCCTTTTAAAATATCTAAACATATTCTTCTTAACTGATCTATATTAACTTATCTATATTATTAAAATATAGGTAAATTACAAAGTGAGTACCAAATTTTAAGCATCTTTAGTTGATACAATGGCTACCGGATCAAAAAAGCATATTATGGTAGAAACAAAAAATTTGTCAAAAGATCCTCCTCCCGGCATTAGTGCAACACCTGATGAATCAAACTGCAGATATTTCCATGTAGTGATGGCAGGCTCTGTTGAATCACCTTACGAAGGTGAGTTATTTAAGTTGGAATTAGTTTTACCGAAGAACTATCCAATGTCTCCTACAAATGTGAAATTTTTGACAAAAATCTTTGACCCTAATATAGATAAGTTAGGAAGAATATGTTTAGCTATTTTAAAAGACCAGTGGTCGCCAGCTGTTCCAGTTAGAACAGTTCTCTTATCTGTTCAAGCATTACTAAGCAGCTCAAACCCTGATGATCCTCTTGCAAATGATGTTGCTAATATGTGGAAAAATAATTTAATATCAGTCGTGCCTATATGAACAGTTTTCTTATCTGTTCAAGCATTACTAAGCATCCCAAACCCTGATGATCCTCTTGCAAATGATACAAAATTAATTTACCATTTTACAGCCCAGTTCTAAATCTGATATGAATCTCCTACCCTCCTCATTCCTTCAGCCCTTGTCAGTGCGTGATGAGACTCTAAATTTTGTTGACAGTCTTCATTTGGTCTGCTCATTCTGTTGCAGATATTAACTTATAACTTAAGTAAAAAAGGCCCTATATGTTATAAAGCAACATTTGGTACCTGAGAAATGTAAGAAGTATAAGTTATAAGTCCATGAACATAGGGCGGATGAATAAAGTTAATTAAATGTGATTGTGTGTTGACATAATATGTAAAACCAACAAAAATTGATGGGTTAAAGATGGCTCTATTTGGCGGAAGTTATAATATCTGATGTTTTAATGTATATGTGAGACTCTATAAGAGGCTGAGACCTCCAGAGGTCCGCAACCATAACCTGATGGAAGTATGTGTGAATAACGAAAATGGAAGAGTGATTGGTTGAGCACATATATTAAAAGTGTGGGGATTACTGTAATATTGTGAATTAAATGTATGTATTTGTTTTATTATATGTATTTTACATTTACATAATAATGTGACATTTGAAAGAGATATTGGATAGTTCTCCGGTAAAAATAATTCCAACTTAAATAACGCACCTTCGTACGGTGATCCAGCAGGGCCTGCCATCACTACATGAAAATATCTGCAGTTTGATTCATCAGGTGTTGCACTAATGCCGGGAGGAGGATCTTTTGACAAATTTTTTGGTTCTACCATAATATGCTTTTTTGATCCGGTAGCCATTGTATCAACTAAAGATGCTTAAAATTTGGTACTCGCTTTGTAATTTACCTATATTTTAATTAAATCATAAAATGTTTTATCTTTACCGGAAATTGAACGGGCTGAATTGCAGATATTTCCATGTAGTGATGGCAAGCTCTGCTGAATCACATTACGAAGGTGGATTATTTAAGTCGGAATTATTATTACCGAAGAGCTATCCAATGTCTCCTCTAAATGTGAGATTTTTAACAAAAATCTTCCAGTGGTCGCCAGCTGTTCAAGTTAGAACAGTTCTCTTATCTGTTCAAGCATCACTAATCAGCCCAAACCCTCATGATCCTCTTGCAAATGATGTTGCTAATATGTGGAAAAATAATTTAATATCAGTCGTGCCTATATGAACAGTTTTCTTATCTGTTTAAGCATTACTAAACATCCCAAACCCTGATGATCCTCTTGCAAATGATATTAAATTAATTTACCATTTTACAGCCCAGTTCTAAATCTGATATGAATCTCCTACCCTCCTCATTCCTTCAGCCCTTGTTAGTTATGAAAATTAATTCCTTAATTAAAGTTTTTAAAGTTCGTACCCGTAGTCTGTATTATGTCGGTATATCCTAAAATTTAGAGAATTAATACATAATAAGTAAAAATATTTACAGGAAGGTGATTCTAACAAGATAAAATCTTTCAACCAAAAAATTCCTTTCCGTTTCCTTTTCCTGTCAGAGAATATGTGACAGCTTCCAATATTTATTATTCCGGATATTTCTTTTATATATAACAATGCACTTCCACATATAGGCACGACTGATATTAAATTATTTTTCCACATATTAGCAACATCAGTTTCAAGAGGATCATCAGAGTTTGGGCTGCTTAGTGATGCTTGAACAGATAAGAGAACTGTTCTAAGTTGAAGAGCTGGCGACCACTGGCCTTTTAAAATATCTAAACATATTTTTCTTAACTTATCAATATTAACTTATCTATATTATTAAAATATAGGTAAATTACAAAGTGAGTACCAAATTTTAAGCATCATTAGTTGATACAATGGCTACCGGATCAAAAAAGCATATTATGGTAGAAACAAAAAATTTGTCAAAAGATCCTCCTCCCGGCATTAGTGCAACACCTGATGAATCAAACTGCAGATATTTCCATGTAGTGATGGCAGGCTCTGTTGAATCACCTTACGAAGGTGAGTTATTTAAGTTGGAATTATTTTTACCGAAGAACTATCCAATGTCTCCTACAAATGTGAGATTTTTGACAAAAATCTTTGACCCTAATATAGATAAGTTAGAAAGAATATGTTTAGATATTTTAAAAGACCAGTGGTCGCCAGCTGTTCCAGTTAGAACAGTTCTCTTATCTATTCAAGCATTACTAAGCAGCCCAAACCCTGATGATCCTCTTGCAAATGATGTTGTTAATATGTGGAAAAATAATTTAATATCAGTCGTGCCTATATGAACAGTTTTCTTATCTGTTCAAGCATTGCTAAGCATCCCAAACCCTGACGATCCTCTTGCAAATGATATTAAATTAATTTACCATTTTACAGTCCAGTTCCCCAGTTCCAAATCTGATATGAATCTCCTCCCCTCCTCATTCCTTCAGCCCTTGTCAGGGCGTGATGACACTCTAAATTTTGTTGACAGTCTTCATTTGGTCTGCTCATGGTGTTGCAGATAGTAACTTATAACTTAAGTAGAAAAGGCCCTATATGTTATAAAGCAACATTTGGTACCTGAGAAATGTAAGAAGTATAAGTTATAAGTTCATGAACATAATGTGGATGGATAAAGTTAATTAAATGTGATTGTGTGTTGACATAATATGTAAAACCAACAAAAAATGATGGGTTAAAGATGGCTCTGTTTGGCTGAAGTTATAATATCTGATGTTTTAATGTATATGTGAGAAAAGAAAAGACTCTATAAGAGGCTGAGACCTCCAGAGGTCCGCAACCATAACCTGATGGAAGTATGTGTGAATAAGGAAAATCTAAGAGTGATTGGTTGAGCACATGTGTTAAAAGTGTGGGGATTACTGTAATATTGTAAATTATATGTATGTATTTGTTTTATTATATGTATTTTTGTCAAGAATGTCACATTTGAAGGAGACATTGGATAGTTCTCCGGGAAAAATAGTTCCAACTTAAATAACCAACCTTAGTAAGGTGATCCAGCAGAGCCTGCCATCACTACATGAAAATATCTGCAGTTTGATTCATCAGGTGTTGCACTAATGCCGGGAGGAGGATCTTTTGACAAATTTTTTGTTTCTACCATAATATGCTTTTTTGATCCGGTAGCCATTGTATCAACTAAAGATGCTTAAAATTTAGTACTCATTGTGTACTTTACCTATATTTTAATTAAATCATAAAACGTTTTATCTTTACCGGAAATTGAACAGGCTGAATTGCAGATATTTCCATGTAGTGATGTCAGGCTCTGCTGAATCACATTACGAAGGTGGATTATTTAAGTTGGCATTATTTTTAGCGGAGAACTATCCAATGTCTCCTCTAAATGTCAGATTTTTGACAAAAATCTTTGACCCTAACATAAATAAGTTAGGAATATATTATTCCTAAGTCCCAGCCCTTGTTAGTTATGAAAATTAACTCCTTAATTAAAGTTTTTAAAGTTCGTACCCGTAGTCTGTATTATGTCGGTATATCCTAAAATTTAGAGAATTAATACATAATAAGTAAAAATATTTACAGGAAGGTCATTCTAACAAGATAAAATCTTTCAACCAAAAAATTCCTTTCCGTTTCCTTTTCCTGTCAGAGAATATGTGACAGCTTCCAATATTTATTGTTCCGGATGTTTCTTTTATGTATAACTATGCACTTCCGCATATAGGCACGACTGATATTAAATTATTTTTCCACATATTAGCAACATCAGTTTCAAGAGGATCATCAGAGTTTGGGCCCACTGGCCCTTTAAAATATCTAAACATATTCTTCTTAACTTATCTATATTAACTTATCTATATTATTAAAATATAGATAAATTACAAAGTGAGTACCAAATTTTAAGCATCTTTAGTTGATACAATGGCTACCGGATCAAAAAAGCATATTATGGTAGAAACAAAAAATTTGTCAAAAGATCCTCCTCCCGGCATTAGTGCAACACCTGATGAATCAAACTGCAGATATTTCCATGTAGTGATGGCAGGCTCTGCTGAATCACCTTACGAAGGTGAGTTATTTAAGTTGGAATTATTTTTACCGAAGAACTATCCAATGTCTCCTACAAATGTGAGATTTTTGACAAAAATCTTTGACTCTAATATAGATAAGTTATGAATATGTTTAAATATTTCAGAAGTTAGAACAGTTCTCATATCTGTTCAAGCATTATTAAGCATCCCAAGCCCTGATGATCCTCTTGCAAATGATATTAAATTAATTTACCATTTTACAGCCCAGTTCTAAATCTGATATGAATCTCCTCCCCTCCTCATTCCTTCAGCCCTTGTCAGGGCGTGATGACACTCTAAATTTTGTTGACAGTCTTCATTTGGTCTGCTCATTGTGTTGAAGATAGTAACTTATAACTTAAGTAGAAAAGGCCCTATATGTTATAAGGCAACATTTGGTACCTGAGAAATTTAAGAAGTATAAGTTATAAGTTCATGAACATAAGGTGGATGGATAAAGTTAATTAAATGTGATTGTGTGTTGACATAATATGTAAAGCCAACAAAAATTGATGGGTTAAGGATGGCTCTGTTTGGCTGAAGTTATAATATCTGATGTTTTAATGTATATGTGAGAAAAGAAAAGACTCTATAAGAGGCTGAGATCTCCAGAGGTCCGCAACCATAACCTAATGGAAGTAAGTGTGAATAAGGGAAATGGAAGAGTGATTGGTTGAGCACATGTGTTAAAAGTGTGGGGATTACTGTAATATTGTAAATTATATGTATGTATTTGTTTGATTATATGTATTTTTGTCAAGAATGTGACATTTGAAGGAGATATTGGATAGTTCTCCGGTAAAAATAATTCCAACTTAAATAACGCACCTTCGTAAGGTGATCCAGCAGGGCCTGCCATCACTACATGAAAATATTTGCAGTTTGATTCATCAGGTGTTGCACTAATGCCGGGAGGAGGATCTTTTGACAAATTTTTTGTTTCTACCACAATATGCTTTTTTGATCCGGTAGCCATTGTATCAACTAAAGATGCTTAAAATTTGGTACTCGCTTTGTAATATACCTATATTTTAATTAAATCATAAAATGTTTTATCTTTACCGGAAATTGAACGGGCTGAATTGCAGATATTTCCATGTAGTGAGGGCAAGCTCTGCTGAATCACATTACGAAGGTGGATTATTTAAGTTGGAATTATTTTTACCGGAGAACTATCCAATGTCTCCTCTAAATGTGAGATTTTTGACAAAAATCTTTGACCCTAATATAGATAAGTTAGGAAGAATATGTTTAGATATTTTAAAAGACCAGTGGTCGCCAGCTCTTCAAGTTAGAATAGTTCTCTTATCTGTTCAAGCATCAATAATCAGCCCAAACCCTGATGATCCTCTTGCAAATGATGTTGGTAATATGTGGAAAAATAATTTAATATCAGTCGTGCCTATATGAACAGTTCTCTTATGTGTTCAAGCATTACTAAGCTGCCCAAACCCTGATGATCATCTTTTAAATGATATTAAATTAATTTACCATTTTCAGTCCAGATCTAAATCTGATATGAGTCTCCTCTCCTCCTCTTTCCTTCAGCCCTTGTCAGGGCGTGATGACACTCTAAATTTTGTTGACAGTCTTCATTTGGTCTGTCCATTGTGTTGTAGATTTTCCTCTCGGTCTTCGTTCTTTTACCTTGCATTCTATTACCAATAGTTCCATAATTCCCAGTCGTGTAGCTATGTGACCGAAATAATTTAGGTATGATCCGTTTACTTTCTTTAATATCCTTTCTTTTATATTAAGCTCTTCCAGAATTGACAGTTGGTTGTGTGTTCTGTCCAGGACACGTGTAGAATTATTTTGTAGACCCACGTTTCAAAGACTTTGATCTTAGTTCTATAGATTTTTTGAGAATCCATGTTACAGCTGCGTAAGTATAGGGATATACTTAGCTGCATGTGTTGGGAAAAATAAGGGCATTGACCAACCTGAGCTTAGTATTCCTTGTTACTGTTCAGTCTTTTCATATTTTAATTAGTTTAGCTGGTGCAGTTTAAGCTATTGCTAGTCTACGGTTTATTTCTGTTGCTTATCAGTGCGCCCAAGTATAAAAATATATCTACTACTTCAAAATTCGCCATTAGGTGTATGTGCGGTTGCTTAGTATGGAGTTTATACAAAACGAAATGAGAAAGTTAATAAGATATTAAGGAACCTCAATGTAATTATCGGGAAGACCGGTAACGGCTGGGCCAAGATCTAATAGCCAAACTCATTCGAAATAATATGTCAACCTCACATTAAATGTTTTTTTATTTAGAATAAATTTGTCTGTATGATTATAAGTTTTTCTTTTGTTACATTCTTAGCAATTGCAGAAAATAACAACACATTCAAATATCCAATATTTTTCCAACAGTGTAGAAAAAAAGGAGAATGCAAGAGAAAATGACATTGTTTTTTCGCAAACACACATTTTATTTCTTCAATGTATGCCAATATAATAAGAATTTGCTCTCATTGCCTGTTTTCAACAGGCTTCTTGCGATAGAATTCGCCATTTTTTTTTAAATTTAATTAATTTTTGGTATACTATGCTGTTTACTTTATTTCTGGGGCTTTTTCAGTAAGACTAATAAACGACATTCTTCTTGTTCTTTCTACAACACCATACTAGTTGAGGTATTTTTCTCTTTTTATTAGTTGATCAACGATTTTATAAGTCCATTCATTTTTGTTTGATTCTTGATCACACACTCCACATATTACTTCAAGTTTTGTTTTGTCAGCTATATATCAAGATTATTTGAAATGCTGATATTTTACCTTTTTGTTGATTGAACATATCCTTATAAATCTTGACTGAATATATTGCTGATGAAACATTTTTGTCAAATCCAGTAAATTCTCGTAGTTTAGGATATCTTATGTAGGTGCCTAAGTGTAAAAGCGCATGTTATACCACAGTAAAATATGCGGTTTGTGAGAAGTTAAAATCATAGTGACGTAAAAAAATGATTAATAATGTAACTTACACTATAGAACTACATTTGCTTTCTGTTCTCAGTTATTATTTTGGCGTAGTTATTTATATGTTATTAAGTGATTTATTTGCGTACGTACATATTTCGCTTGGTCTATTTATCATTACTCTACATTTAAGCGGTCCTACAAACTTGCAGAATGGATTCTGTTGAATTCAGAATTCATTATGTTGATAATTCAGTAAAATTACTGATTAAATTTTAATATTTTTTTTAATAGTTAAATTTAATCAATAAATTTTGATCAAATTAATGAATACATTTCACATACATACAAAAATTTGATTTTATTAAAAAGTATCCAAGTACTAGATATACCAAATACTTTTTAATGGAAATGAAATACTTCTACACATGACCAAACGTATATGGAATCACCATTTATTTTAAACCAACATTTATTTCTTTTGAAAAAACTTGATATTGTTGAGAAGAATAAGGGTTTTTATTGAAAATTAACAAACCTATAAAACAATCAGGTAACACAGCTCGGTACGTTATAGATTATTTGTTTTAGTTGTAAATTAAACGAGAAGAAATAAATTTAGTTTTTCATTTAAAAACGAAAATATGCCTTAGGTAGGGTTAACGCATATGCAAAGGGTAAAGAATATTGGTCTTGTGGAACAAGGAATATCTCAGAGGGACATAGCGGCAGTTGTAGGCGTAACACAGGGCGTTGTGTTAAAAACTTATGCTAGTTATCCGGAATTAGTAACGCTTAAGAATGGACTAAGAAAAAATTGTTTAAGTAGCTAGAAGAGACCCAACAATTTCTCACCCATAGCACCAAAGGCAACTTTTCAAAGTTGCAGATATAATCCACAAGGAAACTATATTCCTTTAGCTGGTTGTACATTATGTATAACAAAACATTTATTTAAAAATTCGTTTATAAAAGGGCTACTTCACAGAATGTTTTCGGAATTAACATTCAATCATCAGTGCTATCCTAAAAGTATAACCACTTCAATTAAGTCAAACATGAAATTTAAAACTGTGACCAAGTTTAATACAAAAATGAGGTTAATACTTACCAAATGTACATTTTAGACGCCACTAAATACATGGGTAAAAACTCTTTAAATATTGTTGAATTAACTCTGAATTATATTATTTAACTTTATAAACTACGATGTTTAAGTTACAACAGCAATGGATAACATGGCAACGTAAGACTCCACTGAAGGTTGCTAGTCCTAAGACGAACTCTCTACGAGGACTTTTTGACAGCAACTGATTAAAATGACATGTTACTACGGAAGTCGGAACAAAGCAGTCAATGTAACCTGTGGTATGAGTCTGAATATGACAGTAGCCAGCAACATTTAAAATTAAGTATGTTAAAATTTTTATTAATAATAACATGGACAAAGTGTGTGACCTTCCAATTATAAAATTGGTTGGACCCTGGTCTTCCTTACCCTTCGGCATACGACCCAAGCGTTACCACTGCCCCTACGAGTCCAACACAACTAAGGTGACACGATGCCGAAACATAGTGGGGCTCCACCTTATCCGTAGTACCTGTGTTGCGAGTACGTCACCCATCCGGAGATCCCCCTGGGGGCGGAAAGATGACGCAGGCGGAGGAATTCCACCTCGCACGTAGACAGGTCACCGCCGAGGATCACTCCTCTACAACTTTAAATCAATCTAGGTAGGTACGTGCCGGGGCACCGACACCACCCTCGGTGGTGTAAGGCTGTGGGAGGTATTTACGGGCCCAGCTCGTTCAACCTCACCTGGCTCTTGTGGAATGAGAGTAGAGTGGTCCCACGAGATGCTCGTCTTGGATACTAGGAGTGTAGACCGGTGACCGAGATGACTATGCATCTCGAGTGCGTTTCTACAGACCCGGCACCTCAAACGACGGCTCTCCACCTCTCATTACTCACCCATAAGTCGCCTCTTACGACAGGCAGGGTCTTCTGGCCTCGGTCGTATTCTTATCTCCGCGAGCCGAACGGAGTATTAATAATAACAGTAGCAACCATCAATATTTTGTAGTTTGAAATACGATTTGTCCTAAAATTACGTTGGGAAACTTGAAAAATTCTTAATAATGCAGGCGAAGTAAAGTATGCTAAAAAGTTGTGAGTAAAAGTAGGCAACCAACTATACAGATATCTAAATTCAGTGGTGGTGAACTAAAGATTTTTATAAAAGGCCATAGGTATACATTTTTTCAATAATTGGTACCTGGAATATGGAAAGCAGATATTTGTAGGAAGTTGGGTTTATTAATTTTATTATTGTAGAATGAAATGTTCATTGGTGTATTTGAAACTGCTATTGAGATGGAGTGTGAATAGAACAAATTTTGTTTTGAACTTTTCGTATATTACTTAACTTATAACTTAAGTAGAGAAGGCCCTATATGTTAAAAAGCAACATTTGGTACCTGATAAATGTAAGAAGTATAAATTATAAGTTCATGAACATAAGGTAGATGAATAAAGTTAGTTAAATGTTGTTGTGTGTTGACATAATATGTAAAACCAACAAATATGATGGACTAAAGTACGACTGATATTAAGTTATTTTTACACATATTAGCAACATCATTTGCAAGAGGATCATCAGGGTTTGGGCTGCTTAGTGATGCTTAAACAGATCAAAGAACTGTTCTAACTTGAAGAGCTGGCGACCATTAGTCTTTTAAAATACCTAAACATATTCTTCCTAACTTACCTATATTAGGGTGATAGATTTTAGTAATACTTGAACATATTAGAGAACTGTTCTAACAGATTACTGGATTAAAGATGGCTCTGTTTGGCTAAAGTTATAATATTTGATGTTTTATTGTATATGTGAGAAAAGAAAAGATTCTACAAGAGGCTGAGATCTCTAGAGGTCCGAAACCATAACCTGAGAGAAGTATGTGTGAATAAGGAAAATAAAGTATGTGATAAAGAAAATGGAAGGGTCATGATCTTGGTTGAGCAAATGTGTTAAAAGTGTGAGAATAACTGTAATATTGTATAGTTGTAACTGTAATATGTATTCTTACCGAGTAATATATTGATTGATGTATGTAATTGTGTGATTGAGATAGAAGATGGTTAGAATTATTTGTTAATTTAAATACGGATATTATATTACTTAACTTATGACTTACGTAAAAGGTTCTACATGTTAAGATATTACATTTGGAACCTGAAATTTTTTTTATGGGTGTCTAAGTTGTAAGTAATATGTAAAATTTCAAGAGTTGATATTAAATGTGTGTTGACAGACTATTAAAGATGGACATAAATGATGGGTATTGGGTAAACCTATTTGATTAGAGTTATGATTTGTAGTGTTTTATTGTTGTTGTGATAGGGAAAAATGAGAGGAGATTCGAATGTGTTACTTGGATTTAGATGGACCATGAAATTATCTGGATATGTAACTGTGAGGAGA